TTCGTGTCTTGGTTTATTCATTCGTCTTTCATTATTCCAAGAAACCTTTAAAAATTAGCTTTAGGAACTGATGAATTCAATGGGAGCTGATGAATGTTGTGCTTCACATTCAATATGGCAACATGGAAACCAAATAGTCTGTGCTTTAATTAAGTTAGCTGAATGAGAGAAGTATGAGGAGTCAATATTTATTATGTCTGGAGACAGCTGGGCCAGCACTGGGCCCGAGTCCCTCAGCAGCCATGAGAGCTAATTGCCCCGGAGGCAAACACAGGCTACTCTCATCAACATCGAGGTGTGCTGCCGTCGCCTTCAGATTTCCCTAAGTGCTGGAATAATGCACTGCAATCATAACGAGAGGTAGAGCCACAATGCCATCTAATTAAATGCATCTGAGATGATTCCACAAGATAAATTGAAGGATAAGTTTCCTGCATCACAGGTTTATGAAACACAGCTGCTAGCACGTCACATCGGTCGATCGGCTAACAAAGATCATTTAACTTCCGTAATCAATGTGATTTTTTTTTTAATCTATTCAGAATTCAATATAACAAAAAGGGAACTTTTCAAAAAATGTTTGCCTTTGAATATTATATAACATTAAAGGTACACCATGTAACACTGTGCATGCTTTTTGCTGCTCAACATTGTTTTGGTTGTGCTTCAGCTTTGCATGACTGTGCAAATAAAGCAATAATAAAGAAATAAAGCACTCTTTGCTTTGAGAAAGCAGAGCGTAACATTTACAGTAAGCATGGCCTATTTTTGACAGCAAACTCTCATTGAAGCCAATAAGCAGAGTTCTCTGTACGCAGCCCAGCTTCGTGCTGAGAGATCTCCAATGAGACCATTTTTAATTAATGCTCCATTTAGAAATAATATTACATTTCCATGCTTTCTCCTCTTGTCACCTTGTCTCTCCACTCTCCTATTTCCATAACAGTGTGAACTGTTGTAAGGATCGAAGCTTCCCACTGCAATTACACCTTTGTCACAGACACTGCCTGGAAATCTGTGCAGGTTTAAAGGTCACGGAAGTATTTCTTTTGAGAGGAATAATAGAATTAAAATGTTATTATGTTAATTCACTGGCACAATCATAGCACAAAGAGATCATAATGACACACCCCTGCTAAAACAAAACAGTATGAGATGGTTCAGTGCTGCTGCTCATCAGACATTAGACTCACTATAGAAATGGTCCTGGGTTTCCAGAAGAACAAATAAGAAAGAAAAATATATAAGTTGTCATGCGCATGCAGAATGCGTTTGCAATGTGTCATTGTCATCGGGAAGATGCTATTTTTAAAGGGTTTTGCATCACTAAAAAGTTGGATGTTAGAACAGTGAATACTGGAGTGATGATGCTGAAAATTCAGCTTTAAAATATGTTCAAATAACATTTCAGATTGTAATGATATTCCACAATATTACTGTTTTTATATGCTCTTAAAATTATAATCAGATGTTTTTACAAATGATGATCCTTGGGTCATATGAAAAATCTAATTCACAGTGTCTCTATAAATAATGTTCATGGAGATCAATTAAATAATAATTGCTCTCACAAAGCTATTGCATGAACATAAATATGGTACACAGTCCACTGGAGCGATACGAGGGTGAATACATGTTGATGTTTCACTTTTGAGTGAACTAACCTTTTAATAAATCTGTTATTCCAATGACAAACAAACCAAACGACAACAGCTATAAATGATCAATGAAATCAGACTGATCTCATGAAACGGCATATGTATGACACGCCAATTCGAATTTCCATTTTTGGCGTGCTAACAACACACATAATCGCTTTTCAGCGCGTTTATGAACGCCGTTGATTTAACGTTACATTACTGTGTATACAAATATATGACCTACCCCAACCCCGTCCCTAAAACCTACCCGTCACTGAGGTTAATAGCATTTATGAGCCTTCCCCTACCATCCTAGGAAAAAAAAAGATCGCTCCCCAGACGTAGATCTACATTTTGCTTTGTCTCGCTCGGACATTTAACGGAGTGTACATACACGCGGAATCACTCGGACATTTAACGGCGTAGACATAGCTCAAAATGCGTATAGATAACACGCCACTTGACTTGAAAGTGGCGTGTATGTTTACGTAAAAGTCATGATGCCATGTTGATGAAATAATAAAAGCTGAATAGGACCCCTTTAAAACAGAATGTGATGCTTTCTAATTAATGTGAACCCCCAGATTGTGAGGAATCAGAAATTTTCATCACAGAATCCGCCGTGATGCCAGTCTCCAGTAAGGAGAAATGCCATGGCATTGTTTAGCAGCTCACCACCTCTTCCCCACAGCTGGACCACATGTGTTAGGCGATAAGTCATACGCAATTAACACAAGCCTGCTGGGGACTGGCAGGCTGCGGGAGATGGTGTGTGTGTGTGTGTGTGGTTGTGCTGCCTTCTTGCTCATTATCTCCTCCCCAACACTTGTGGCACTCTAAATTGAGCATGGGTGAAAAATAGAAACAGGGCAAATTGAGAAGCGGCATGCTGGCTTGCAAGCAGACTGATGCATGTAGAACTTTAATGGAGTTTGACCTGACACGTTGAGTGTGGTTGGAATCAGAGAGCAAGGCAGAGTAACCACATTGTGCGTGTGAGCTGAAGACATGGGAGGAACTTAGTCTGTGTCAGGTGTCGTAACCAGGAACAGAGAGTCTGGAATGCTGTTTTTTTACATTATAAATCAGATTGATCTGGTTCCGGATGCTGATTGGTCCATCCAACGTTACAGCCATGCTAAATTGCACAACACAGCAGCTGTGACGTGACACCTGTTCATCATCTATTGTGAATCTGGTTCCAAATCAGTTCCTGAATTGAATCGAATTTGTACGATTTGTCTAAACCCCAGTGATTTAGTGGCAGAGTCATTCATATGAATTTGGCAACTCGTAAAATATGTGTGATTTAGCAAAAATTGGTAGCTAGTCAACCGTACTCATATAAAGAGTTTTATATATCTAAAAACTGTTTAGCGTATAACACTAGTATATGGGGGCATATAATAAATAAAATGAAATCGCTGGTTTATACCACTAACAAGGCTCAAAATAGCCCCACACTAACACAGTAACATAATGAGGGTCCCTACATGCAAAACGAAGCATTAAGAACATTGTAAGTGTACAGACCGTTTAATAAGAAGATACTTTATAAAGACGGTGCACTTCGTGTATACAAACAGAAAAAAGTCTCAACAAGTCGATCCACAAACGCCGTTCATACGGTTCAGAAGTTCGCTAAACTTCATAGGCTACAGTTCAGCTCACTCAGTTCGTGGTTCGACTTGATTATATCGTTTTATCGTTCTATCGTTTTCTTTTGTTCTACTTCGTTCTATCTGTCATTCTAACTTTCAATCTATCCAAAGTTCTGTTGTTTGTCTTTGAATTGTCTATACACTTACAAAGTTCTCAATGCTTCATTTTGCATGTAGGGACCCTCATTATGTTTCTGTGTTAGTGTGGGGCTATTTTGAGGCTTGTTAGTGGTATAAACTAGCGATTTCTTTTTATTTACTATATGCCCCCATATGCAATGTATAAGCGACTCAAAATGCATATTTTTTAGCAATTTAAATATACTGAAATACTGCACTAATTAATGTCATAATACTGTTGAGCACAGCAATTATCTAATGAAATAGCTTTCATTCCATTTCACAAGTCACACAAGAACTAATCGTGATTAATGTGACTTGAAAGCTATAATAGAGAGGACCACTTTTAGCAAATATGGCTGTTCCTCTCACAACGCTCTTGTATGAAAATAATAAAGTACACAAGTCCACTTTAAATCTTTAGAGCGATACGAGGGTGAATAAATGATGATACTTTTGGGTGAACTAACCTTTTAAGAAATGTGGCGGTTCCACATTGAATTTCCACATTGAGGCTGCTTGGCTAAAGTTACGCGTCCACCGGCCGGCTCAGTCTCACACAAAGCTCATTAAGGTGGGTGGGGTTAGGTTTCCCAAGATTTTCAGAAGATGGCGCTGCCCATACTCCCCCATAAACGGCTTCAAAACTGTATTCAGAAAGTCTATGGGTGACGTCACAGACGCTTCGTCTTTTTTTTTTTTTACAGTCTATGATCAAGCCTCGAGCTGGTAGCTTGTGAGCGACGTGTTGGAGACCAAGGTGATAGATGATAGAAAATTGCTTCGCGGCGCAGAGGATCTTTTTTTTTATTACAACATGACATCATGACTTTTGCGTAAACATACACGCCACTTTCGAGTCAAGTGGTGTGTTATCTCTACGCATTTTGAGCTATCCGAGTGTATGTCTACGCCATTAACGTCCGCGTGATTCAAATGTCAAATGTCCACGCGAAACGAAGCAAAATGTACATCTACATCTGGGGACCTATCTTTTTCTTTCCTAGGATGATAAGGGAACAGTCATAAATGCCATTAACCCCAGTGACGGTTAGGTTTAGGGACGGGGTTGAGGTAAGTCATATATTTATATATAGAGTCAATAAAGTTAATTTGAAACTTCTTTAATGATGAATCACTTGTATAAAGCAGACTTAAATAACAATGCCATTTGAAATTATGAACTTAAAATACAATGATAAAAATCATCATTAAAGAAGAAAATTTCAAATGGCATTTAGAGGCTTTTGCATCTTCTTCATATACAGTCTGTTATTCAACGGCGTTCATACACGCTGCTATGTGTGACAGCATGCCTGAAATATGTGCTGTGATAAACGAAGCTGCCCAGTTCGCCCATGCTCAAAACTGCTACTGTTCCAGTGACAACAAACCAAAAAAAAAAAGAGCAAAAAAGGCAAAGACATCATGTAAAATCACCCAATCAGTGATCTAGTATGATTTCAACATGGGTGACCTTGTCTCTGCTCTTTTCTCGCTTCCCATTTCTCTTCTTTCCTCTGTCAGATGACAGTGAAATCTCACCAATTAATCTCGTATTCGTGCCGTGATAACTCACCCTTGCCAGCGCATTGCTGTTGTATTCTTGTCAGAGCTGTTCTGGCTGTAGATAGATCTGGCTGACATTAACCAGCAGACTAATGAAGCTCTTTCCCCGTCTGTCATTCAGGTGACTGGTGTCCTGTCTGTTGATAGATCTTTATCAGCCACCAAATGGCAACCACAGCTGGCGAGGCGTGATATCGATGTTTAGCCGTACATCTGATCACCTGATCAGACTAAAGCAATGGATACTCCATGACGTTAGAATGGGCTCCATGTATCTTCATCCTGGAGGTCAAAAGCATACAACAATCTGATTTTGTTGTAAATTATGCATTTCAGCTTTTTTAGGATACTTGACATGATTTAAAGCCCTAAAAACACAAAGTCATGGGAGCATTTCCATTTTGATTTTATATTCATGCATTTTTGGATTTGACATGCTGATACATTGAATGATAGAATGATTTATAAAATCTCTCCAAGTACATTTCAAAGACCCCCTGTGGTGAAGTTTTTAGTGTTATTTATGTCTATGTGGCGTTTTAAATAGGCTTTAAGACAAACCATGCGCAAATTCATCCTTCAAACTGCAGTGCACTCAAAAACGTGGTTTGAAACTACCCATGTTTTCTAACGTCAAACATGTAGCCAATCCTGTTTTGTGGACGAGGCTTTTCTCCACTGACTTTCTATGATGTTCAAAGGGTTTCTAAGGATGCTGTTTTTTTTTATAAGGCACCTGTCTGACTCTGAGGTTGCAAATGGGAACATGGTTTGTGTAACATCATTATTAGCACATTATTAGCTGTTTCATAATAAAGCCAGGCTAATCATATCAATTACCTGACAGTTATGTGTCTGACATTGACATTACGGCCTGTTCTCATCTAACTGACGCTTTTGACTATACGTCAACATCCGACGCTTTAGGGTACCCTTTAACGTCAGTTAGATGACGCTATCTAATCCTAACCCTACCCCAGACCTAAACCTACCCGCGTCATCTAACTGACGCTAAAGGTAAAGCGTCAGTTGGATGACGCCCTAGGATCGTCATCTAACTGACGTTAAAGGGTACCCTAAAACGTTGGATGTTGACGTATGGTCAAAAGCGTCAGTTAGATGACGTCTTGGGATGAGAATGTGTTGGACATTAGCATTCAGATACATCGACTTGTAGACAAGCCTGTATAATTCCCTCATTCTCCTCCTTTTTATGAATCAGTTTCTGGTTCAAACATAGGCTATGTTTACACAGAAACGATTCTGAAGAGAAAACGCAAAAGTGCGTTGCGTTATCAATTTTTATTCTGCGTTTAGACGAGCATTTTGGGTGGAAAATCCACGTGCATATGGTGACGCAATAGTGTGTGAAATTCAATGTAGTACGCACTCCAGGCAGCTAGGTGGCGATGTGAAGCACTGACACACAACAACACCAAGTCCATACGCCTGCGTACAACCTTCACTGTCAAGCAGACTTTTGCGTTTTTACTCTTTACACGGGAACGCGGCGGTGGAGCGTTTTTACGATTTCCACTCTGGAGGGTGGTTTCACTTTTTTTTGCGTCTTTAAGCCCCAAAAACGCTGTCGCCGTGTAAACGAAAGGCACATCCGATAAAATATTTTTACATTTTCACCCGTAAACAGGGCCTAAAACCAGTATTTCCACTTGCCATTGTGTAGTGTTTCACAGTTGACTGAGTGGATCAGATAGTCCCAGCTGGTGTGATCAACTAGAGGCAGGGACTAATTTGCATGTTCACGTATACTAAATAAAGCAGAGGTGTAGAGTTACATTCAAGCTATTTTAAGAAATAAATAGGAATGTAGCCTGTTTTGAAATGTTCCTTCTTCAGAAATAACCTCACGCAGGCTTGAAGACACATAAGTCAGTAATGACAGGATTTTTATTTGGGGGGAACTAGTCCTTTAGTTGTTTAAGATTATGGCCAGCAAAACAACCCTAGAAAAAAAGACTACTGGTAAAGATGTTAGTAAAGCTGAAAATATCCTGACCTGCTGCCGTGTTCGCTGCAGTGGAATGGAGATGAATGGAAGTGCCTGCCGTGTTAGTCTGTCCCTGAATTGCTGCTCCTTTGGGATGCTCACAGTAAACAGACCCCCTAGGGTTCCTGCAATTCCCTAATGAGGATCATTTTAGCAACATGCCAGCTCTGAGCAACACGTAATTATCCCTCTCTTTACTGTGGCGTGACCGTAAACCCCCAGACCTTCAGGTATATCTGTGGGGGGACGGTTTATTGCGAACTCCTGCTGTAATCTTGGGCAAAGGCGGTATAAAAACAGACTGCATTTGGTTATTTATTTAGTTTATTTGTTTAGTTTGAAAGAAAATCATGAGAAATGACAAAATTACCATTCAAAAGTTTGGCGTTGGTGGGATTTTTGAAAGTAGAAGTCAGTGACTATTTCTGAAAGCAATTTCATGCTTCTCAAAATTTTGCCCCTTTTCAAAATATTGGAGAAAGTTGTATTTATACAATTGAATGATGCATTTACGAATAAGGCGTTTCAATTTGGCACTATATAAATGCCTCATTCATTCATATTTATACAATTGTAATCTTTTTTAGATAGATCTACATGGTTTTCAAGTGTTCCACTTGTTAAAAGTTTTCAATGACCTGTTACTAACCACTGACTCGGGTTATTATACTGTTCTCATACTCCTAGGTCTTACAGCTGCTTTTGACACTGTAGACCATAACATCAACCATAAAAGTACTGCGTTGGAGTGGTTTAGATCTGATCTGTCTGACAGAAGTATTTTTCTGTCTGCCTTAAGGATGTTTTTGTCCTCCTCTCCGTCTCTCTTGTGTGGAGTTCCCCAGGGCTCTATTCTCGGGCCTATCATGTTCTCCTTACATTTCCCTTACCTTAAGGTCCATTTTTAGGATGAATGGCATCTTGTTTTATTGTTATGCAGATGATACAAAACTTTTATCTACCTTTGAAACTGAAAGATGCAACCTCTGTAGCAACATTGACTATCTTGAAAATATTAAAGCCTAGATGGCCTTAAATGTTTTAAAGTTCAGTGAAGTGAAAACAAACATTTTTGGACCTGGTGGAGTCTGTGAGTCCCCTTATATAATTCTGTGTGCTATAAAACCATATGAAGCCCACTGTAAAACACCTGGGTGTTATAATGGAGTGTCTTTAAACTGGATAAACAGATTAAATAGGCAATTGAATCTAGCTGAGGCAATTATCGAAAGTCAAGTCTTCTCTGTATTTTAATGATTTTGAAAGAGATATAAATGTTTTTTTTTTTTTTTTTTTTTTTTTTTTTATCAAGTAGCAGTAGCCTTGACTACTGTAAGTGCCTTTATATTAGCCAGAGAACAGCCAATTAGACAATAACAGCAAAAGAACTCTTCAAAAAAAAAAAAAATGTTTTGGGCATTTTTTTACTGCCATTTTCAATCAATTTAATGCATTCTTGCTGAATAATTTATTTAATTTTATTTTTTTATGAAGTCTTACTGACTCACTGATTAAGTGAGCATAAAAAACTAGTCTGGACCAGCATGCAAACTCATTCTTGTCCTAACCAGGAGTGGCATCATACAGTGACATGCCAGATATCTTATATATATGATAACCTGCCATATATATCCATATATATATATATATATATATATATATATATATATATGACAGGTTCAGATGCGATTGTGTCATCCGGCGGTATTTTCACTTTTATTCTTGACAGATAATTAATCTTTTAATTAAACTTTTTTATTATGTGCAATGTGCAAATGTAGAATATGTGTCTGTGTAACAACAGCTGAACAGTAAAATATGGATATTTTTGCCACACAATTAAATGGTGAATCTTAACCAGGGTGCAGCATGGACCAGTGAGGAGGACACAGGGTTTCCTGGCTAAGACAGCCCTGATAATGCTAAAAAAAAATAACCACAAATCACAAAAAGCTTGTGTCTCGAATCGTACCTGCAGAAATACTGTTAATTATTATATATAGGCTAGATGGATGTGCAAGTTCAGTAGAGTACCAGCCTGAATACAAGTGCAAGTACAAAACAGCAGAGAAAAAGAGTAGTTTTCACATTTTTAATGGTTAAAGTGCCTTTATAGAGAGAAAGATAATGGTGAGGTGGAGAGGTCAAGCTACAAGCTCTTCATGCTGTTTAATAGCGAATAGAAGCTCTCAAAATTGAAAAAAGTCTGTCTTGCCTAGTGCACACAGAGTGACACTATATACGTATATAGTGTCACTCTAGATAGATATTTTTTTTCACATTTGAGGTGCACAAACAGGCCAACAGGGGGCGTCAGACTGAAATCCTGCTCTTAACTGAATGTTTGAAAATGTAAATTTGATCTCAATTGCATTTTTGAAAACTAAAATGATATGGCATTTTTGTAAAATTATTGGTGGTTATGAAAATTAAATATTGAATTAAACTGATAACTAAAAATGAAAACTGTTGAGCCAGCAAGGATGTTGAGTAACCAGGTCTTACATAAGCTACATCCCAGCCAAAACTAGCAAGCTCTGCTCCTAAATGGCATTCAGAAGCAAATCGGTGTGAAAGAAAGCTTGCATTCCTCCATCCCCGGCTCTCTCTCCATTTCTCCTGCTCGCCCTCAGAGTTCATTCTCTCCGTTTTTATCTCTCGTTCTCATTCTCTCTCTCTCATTGTTGCTTTTCGTTCTCTGGCCATTTCTGGGGACTGCTGATAGCTGGTAGCTCAGTTTTAGAGGATGGTTTGAGATAAAGAAATAAAATAAAATTCAGTAGGCGATTTTACACTAAAGGTGACTTCAGAGAGCTGTCAACACAGCCCGGCTGTTATCTCCTGAAGAACGCTGCTCTCAAAAATAGAGGTTGAATACAGGTCTCATAACCAGCCTGAACATCTGAGCTCAGAAACAGATGAAAGCCATAGACATCACGGATGACAAAGAGATTTTAAGATTCTTTTCATGGGTACCCCAATTGGGTCACAGTGTAGGCCTCGATATTGCCATGCTATTCATTTTTTCCTTAAAAAAAATGGCACTTTTATTTTTTAGCCGTTTTTATTTTGACATTTCCAAGTTGTAGAAAGATTGTAAAACATAGCATTATGTGGTCAATAACATGAACTGTTTTCTATTTGAATACATTTTAAAATGTAATTTATTCATGTAATCGAAGCTGAATTGTCACATGATCCTTCAGAGATGA